AAAGTTGTTATAAAAGCTGTAGTTTACTTTAAAACATGTCAGCATAATGGCTGTGTATATGCGTATCTCTACTCTAGAGGCAGCTATTTACCCTAAATGGGAAAACCCATTCTAGGAGTAATTAACTAGGATTTAAACCAAAGGCCAGAGGGCTATTCTAAATGCTTCTGCTATCCTAATCTCCAAACTACACCAGAAGCTTTGTTAACTTTTGGGTTGTCGGAAAAGTCATGACGCATTTTTGCAATGAAAAGCATAGAAAAAATACGTCATGACTTTTCCGACAACCCAATAGGAAAATGAGTTTTCATGTGAACTAAGTAGCCTTGTTACTTAGTAGTATAACGATATTAGAAATTCCTGGGGTAAAATGAGTGGCATTAAGAGACAAGGGCAGATTGGCAATACAGAAGCCCCCATTGTGGTATGAACAAGGTGTAAGACTCTAGAAAGCCTGGAGGGAGGCTGAAGTGTTGGGAAGGCTGTTGGGCTCGATTCTAAAATGGCTGCGTGCAGCCACTGAATGGGAAGATGCGGGTTGCCTTGTACAGACCATATTCTGTCTCTGACACTGTCACCTTTGCCTCAGTATCTGTAGGGAAAAGTTAGGTGATAGTACTGAAGAGAGAGCAGGGGCTGCATTAAATTTACTTACAAAACTGTTTGTAGTAAGTGCTTGCTAATAAATATATGTGAGGGTGCAGAATTCTGGCTTGCTTTCAGTGTAATCTGGTAGCCAAGCAGTAGGGAGGATACTTAGAGCTTTATCTAGCTGTAACTATTGGAGGCTAATTACCTACCAAAAGATGCATACTTCTGGGAACTGCCAAACTGGCTTAAATAGTTTGAAAAAAAAAGATTTGCATAAATACAGAAAGTGTTTCCTACTAAAACTTTCTGAGGGAAGATGTAACTGCTGATAAAATAATTTTGAAATTGAAGTCCCTGTTTTTAAAGTTTCATTACAAGAGATTCACTTTACATAAAATCTCCTCCATCTGGAATGCATTTTATGTCTCCATAAACAGAGAACTAGAGTAACTGTGAATGATTATTTTCATAAGGGTAACGCTCTCCTAAAGAATCCCTTTAATACAAACCATATGTTAGCATCTTTGAAAGAGAAGATATTCTTCAGGAAATTACTTGTCTATATATCAGATCAAAGAAATGGAAACAAATGGATTCTAAAGCTTATGGAGTTTACAGTTTCAAATATTTTCTCTGCAAGCATGTGGCTTGTAAATACTGACTACATGAAATTCCACTGTACACCCAACTCATTTTTTAATATCACATTACTCGTCCAGTATGAGGTATAACACCAATCCCAACCCCAGGTCTGGCCGGTACTTGGAGCCACTGCCTCCCACATATCTTCTGCCCATGCTTCTAAAACTGGGGCATGCATACTCTCAGAGGGCCTAGCACATGCAATACACTCCCTGAGCTCAACTGTACATTGTGGTATGTTGTTGAAAATATATTAACATTAAATAAAACCTAAATGAAGGTGAGATAGGGACTTTCGTTTTATCCACTGATATATTATCAGGGCTTAGAAGAGTGTCTACCACTTAATAGGCAACCACCTTTTAACTAAATGGATTCCATAAATACACCTATGTACTTACATGAGAGAGGCACAGTACCAGGAACTAAGGATCCAGAGAACAAGGCAGACAAGGCCCCTACTGTCAGAGATCTTATATTCTAGCAGGAGAGACCATAAATATGCAGCGTAATTAACTACAGGTTGTGATAATTGCTATAAGGGAAATCCATAGGACAGTGATAATGAATAGAGGAAATTCCTCAATAGGGTTTTAGACTAGTGTTTAAGAGAGGGAGAAGGAGAAATGTGGACAGAATTGAAATACATTTTGGAAATGTAACCAACAAAATTTGTAAATCCTATGTAACCAATAGGATTTACTCCTGGCCTGGATGGATTTAAATACATTCTGGAAATGTAACCAATAGGATTTACTCCTTGAGAAAAAAGGCTGAATCAAGGATGATTCCAGGTATTTTGTTTTTCTAGGTTTTCGTTGCTGTTTCTATTTTATTTTACGCTTAAGCAACTGGGTGATTTGATGGTACTATATATTGACATAAGACTTAAGGAACACATTTTGAACATAAAAGAAAAAGTTCCATCTGGAATATGTTCAATTTGAAAAAATCTACCCACCAGATGACAGATGCATACCACTACCCATTGCCCCAACTGAACAACCAAAAATGTCTTCAGATACTACTAAATGTCCCCCACTCTAGCTAATTGAGAACCACTGGTCTAGAATAATGCAAATTACAGATTATAACCTACATATGTCAAAATGGAAATCTCTCTAGTGATTTGTGATAGCCAATCTTCAAGATGAATTCAGTAACCCCCACCTTCTGGTATTCATGTCACTATGGAGTCCCGTTCCATACTGTATCAGGGTTGGTCTGCATGACCAATAGAACAAAGGGATGGTATGTGACTTCCATGGTGGGGTCAAAAAAATACTATGTGGCTTCTGTCTTGCTCTTTCTTGGATCATGTGCTCTGAGGGATGAAGGCTGCCATATCAGGAGCAAGAACCCCTCTGCTGAGGGCTTCAAGGTGAGGGACTGAGCGTCCATGCAACCACCATAAGGGACTGAGGCCTCTTGCCAAGAGCTACCTGAGTAGATTCTTGGAAGTCTGGAAGAAGAGCCCCCAGCCCCATCAAGCCTTCAGATGACTGCAGCTCTAGCCAACATCTTAATGACAACCTCATGAGAGACCCTGAGCCAGAACCACCCACCACATAGAAATTCTGAAATAATACATGTTTTAAGTCACTAGGTTTCAGGGTAATTTGCTGCTACATAGCAATAGCTCACTCATACAGAATTATACTTCTGTCTGTCTCAAACAAAAACCCTGGCAAGTATATGAACCCTTACCATTTAGTAACAGAATCACTAGATTCTTTATCAAAGGACATGAATGACTGGCTAGTTGCAATTTATCTTTTCTAGGCAAAAATGAGACAAATGAGCTCAAAACTTGTTTCTCCAGAATTTAAAGTGTGGTTTAGGGGAAAGAAAATCAGAACAGACTGGTAACTTGATTTATGTGGCAAAAGAAAACATTTTCCACTAAGAAGTCCTTGAAAATCTTCATGGAGATTCACATACCTAAGCTGGTAGCTCACTGTGTCTTCTATCCCATGACACAGCCACTAAACAGGGCTTTCATCTGGAAGAATTTAAGATTTAATTGTGGCTCAGGCTCAATGCTGATGACCCAAGGAATGGCAGACACTCTATAAATGAAGCTCAGTTTCCCCAGATCTTTTGTAAATCCAAGTCACAGCCATGCTTCCTACTGCCACAGGCACGTTTGTTATCCCACTTTGTACATAAAAAGCTAACATAATTACCAAATGAATGTGGATGAAGTGAATCTTCAAATTTTATCTTACTAGGAATAAACAATATTCCAAGCAAATAGATGCCTCTTTTTTACATAACTTGGAAAGCCTCTTGTACTTAAACTACCTCTGAGGAAGTTATGGTCTGAATTGTGTCTCCTCCAAAAGTCAAATGTAGAAGTCCTAACCCCTAGTATCTCAGAACATGACTATATTTGGAGATCGGGTCTTTACAGAGGTAATTATGTTAAAATGAGGTCACTAGGGAGGGCTGTAATTCCAAATGACTGGTGTCCTTATAAGAGAAGAATAGGCCACAGACACACAGAGGGAAGACCATGTGAAGACACAGGGAGAAGATGGCCATCTCCACGCAAAGGAGAGAGGTCTAAGAAGAAACCAGCCCTGCCAATACCTTAGCCTCAGACTTCTGGCCTCCAATTGTATGAAAATTAATTTCTGTGGTTTAAACCCCCCAGTCTGTGGTACTGTTACAGCAGCTCTAGCAAACTCATGCAGAGCATTATCTGGCTGCCTTTGTGCTTACCAGGTCCTCTGTGATCCCGAATTCAGTCATTTCCACTAATCACAGAAACCATGTTATCAGAAAATTAACACGCAGACCATGACTTTACATTCCCAGAGTAAAAAAGTATGTCACAATGATACTAGATTGCCCCAAATTATCCATGTCTTATTCTGGCTTTCTTGACTTTTACCAATACTTCTAGTATCAAAGAGGAAGAAAAAACAAACAGAATTAACTCAAACAATTTAAGTAGAAACAATTGAAATTGAAGACCATCTCCAAGTTGACCATAGGGTTATTGAGTCTTGAGGACTATAATCCAGGGGCAAAGTTTTACTGAAGGAATGCCCATTTTGTTGAATATGGATTTACAGAAAATTGACCATTAAAGTGTTGATTCTGAGCAAATGGAATGGGCAGGGTGGCGTCCTTGTACTAATGCTGATTTGGCTATTACTTAGGATAATAACCTCAAGCAAACTGTAATAGTTGGTTGAACTGAGGGAAAAAGCAAAGCTATCAATGAATTAAGATAGCTGAAAAGCTGAGAATTTTTAAAGAGAAGTAAGAGTAGCGACAAATTATTCTGAAGTCTATATCCCATAGAAACAGGAAGGTATGAAAAGGACAATTTACTACATCGAATACTAACTTTACTAGTTGAGCATTTATTATGCCCAGTGCTGTGTTAAGTACCAAATAGACACCTCATTTATCTCTACATCAACCCCCTAACAGGTTTTAGATATCATCTCCAATCAAAAATAAGAAAATAAGTTCAGGTATTACATAGTTATATATCCACACAATATATTTATGTAGAATATACGATTACAATTACTTTCACATTTCCCCCCTTTTATTGCTTTTTAAAATGTGGCTACTAGGAAAATTTAAATTACAGGTGACTTGCATTTATATTTCTATTGGACAGTACTGTTCTATATACTACATCAATTAGCCTCTTCTGAAAATCTAAGAAGTACTGTATTTGATTAATCATAGTAGACATTTAACTAGAAACCTGAGGAATTAAAAGTTTCTGATACTTTTCAACTTACAAAACGAGATGAGTTATCATTTTTCACAGTCTTCGCATTTCCAAATGATTCCAGAATAGGATTTGCTTGCAAAAGCTGACGTTCAAGTTCCCCCTAAAAAACATTACACATACACACATACACACACACATAAATAAAAGCAGATGTATGTTAATCCAGTGTCTTTACTCCAGTCCTCAGGGATGAAACAAAACAAAACAAAAAACTGCCTCTTTTCCTCAGTTCTTTCATTCAGTTTGCCATCCAACAACCTTTGTTGGCTTCTTATTCTTGGTCATAAGAGGCTCTGCTGAAGGGAAAAAATTAGCATCTATAAAGTGATCACAAGGAAAATAAAATGTCACATTTATCAGAGAAGATAAATTTAAGGACAGGGCATATAAATTAGGCAGAGAATTCGGAAAATAAAACAAAGAAGCTGGTTTTCATTAAATGAAATTCAGAATGACACTTCAATCAAGAACATATTAATACTTATATGTTATAATTGCTGGTATAAAGCTTGCCATTTTTGCAAAGGTTTCACATAATATCTTAATGATGTAGATAGGGCAATGTCCTCATCTCCATGTTCAGAGATGACAAAGATGGCGATGCTACTGACTTCTTCCTCAAATTTAAAAGGGTAAATATAGAGTGTTGATATAAGGTATGCTTTACTCAGTGTCATATATGCAAATTAGGCTATAAAACAGATTTAACAAAAAGATGTAAGTATATTAATATGTGCTTTAATGATGAAACACAATAGAAGGCTGTATGAGAAAGCATGATGTCATTTCTGGCCATGAAAAGCACTAGAAAGTAATGCTGTATTCCTGGAATGTAATTTCAGAATTATACTGTATGATTTAAATAAATCTGCTTTTTTCCAAACACAAATCTTACCCCTATATTTTAAAATGCCCACAGTATTCTAAACCTAAAGAAAGAAAGGAATAAAAACCACTAGCAAATGTGCTTCTCAAAGCAAAAAATATAAGAAACCTCACATAAGATCTGTTAATTAATGGCCAGCTACTAGGCGATTTATTATATTATAGTCAAATCCAAAACAGGAACAAATAAATATATGCCGGATATGTAGTCTCGGCATCCGACCTTAGTTTGGACTCCTTTACTCAGGTGAGTGTGAGGAAGTGTTCCTGAGGCACATGCCACGTTGAGGAGATATGCTCCTTCTTTGTCTCCTCTATAGCATTTCCTTGGATTGTTCAGACTTTCGCAGGGTTTAATGAGAGTGTACGATTGGGTTCCATTGAGACCAGTCAGGAACCAGTCCTTTTCAGAACCCCAAACTACGTGAATTTCACATTACAAAGTATTGATCAACTCCCTTTCTTGGCATTAGATAATATGCTCCCTGTACAGTGAATCTTCTAGTTTATGGACTTCAAAACACCAGATTATTTCTTTAAAAAACACCACCAGATTACTTCGATGTAAATCTTTCTCAATATTATATGCTATGGAAATTTCTTAAACATGGTATCCTGAACCAATTTTAATGACTGAGAGTCATCATTAAGGATGTTGGTTATCATTCTGTGATGTAACAGAGTGCCTCTCCCCTTGAGGTCAATGATCACTTCTATCAATGTGCCTATGGCTACCATCTTTCAAAGCCCTTGGTGTACTGGCTCTGCAACAGTTGTCTGAACTCTAGAATATTTTCTATCTCACTCAGAACATATAATTAATATAAAAACTGTCACAAAACACCGACTTTTACAACCTTTGCAACACTAAACACCTGCTAAATCAGGGAATTACAGAATACAGATTCCTTAAAATTATACACTATCCCTGCCAAATCATAATAAAAATACTTTAAATAATAATCTACCTTTAAAATGTTTTTCTAACTTGGAGGTAAAACAAATATTGCACATCCCATTTTAATATTCCCTAGACATGGCTATAAGGATTCTTTGGGTCAAGTTTATTGATTCTTTTCCTTTCGTGTGTGTGTGTGTGTGTGTGTGTGTGTGTGTGTGTGTGTGTGTGTGTGTGTAGACAGAGAGAGAGATCTACTGATTCTAGTCTTCCTTCTGTTGGCTTATATTAATTGGGTGTATCCTCTGCACCAACCTTAGTCAGTACAGTAACAGGTCAAAATGATGCGCCATGTGTGTTCGCTGAACGTATGTATAATCAGAGGTCCTAAAACATTCTCGTATTTGGGGAAGGGATGGTGGTGAGCTAAAAGGTGGCAATAAGATTTGGGTTAAGGGTCCTCATAGTCACCATTTACCATAGACTTGGGCACTTCCATATCCCTGCTGTTGGGGCCACTCCATTAACAGTGCTGCGGCATTACTTGTGTGTCCTAATGGATTTGTGACATCAATGAGACCAAAAGATCTCAAAATCTCAAATGAATCACAAAAAGCTTGACACAAAGCTAATATCATAAAACATACAAAAATGGCTTTAAATTCAGAAATGACCACTAAATTTTATCATTTCTGTGTTGAGCAATTTTACATTTAGATAGTGCTAAGATCTCTCAACCAAATTATGAAACCATTTATAAACCATCAGGGGGCAGTGATAAAGTGTTAACCTTCCCACTAGAATTGGATGGGCAATGTCTCATTTCTATTCTATGATGAGAAATGTCATTTCGGAGTGTGGAAAAGCAGTATTAGCTATTGAAATTATTTTTAAAGTTCTAAGTATTTAGAATTATTTGATGCTTTAAAGGCTTACCAATTGTGATGAAAACCCTGTGTTTATTATACAGTGTATAATAATAATATACACTTGCTAGATGACAGATATGAGTTTGAAATTGGTGAAATACATACATACATTATCAAAACTCTAGTTTCGCCAGCAAGGGGATTCAGGCTGAGAACATTCTGCACCTGGCAGGCCTGACAGGGCAAAATTGTAGGTGTCCCACTGGCCACAAAAGGAGGGATGAAAGTAGGTGGCAGTTACCAGTCGCGGTATTAAGAAATAGATTCTAGTGTCATTTAGCAGGCTTTAATTTCTGGACTTGCTGCTTACTATCTATCGCCTTTTTGTCTTAGCTCAAGGCAATTCAGACCAGTAGATACAAAATCATCCTGAAACTGTTGCCTAGATTTGGATGACTCAACAGTCAGTGGGGCAGATGGGCTGGCTTGAAGGAGTCATTCTTAGGGGATGGTGAAGCTTTACGAGTTAGTTGTGTTCAAATATCTCTGAAAATGCACTGTGTTTAGGCTTTGGTGTGGCAGTGAACACCATGCTGAGGTTGAGGGTCTATAACAGCAACCTGTGATGAGGGAAGAGGATCGTAAACTGTGCTTTCTCCCCAGCTGGCTGGGGGATAGATAAAGCCAAATGAGACTTAATTTTATTATAAAAAGTACATCAAAAGTTTACAGGTAAACCTTCAATTAACTTTTACTTAAATATTGAGGCCTTAATTTTAAAAAGTGATTTCCCTTGTATTTGTTCATATTTCCATAATGAAGATTAAGTTTCAAAGGCAAATTTAAAAAAGGGTGGTCAGTTCACACTGTTGGATTGGTTATAATAAAAAGACAATGACCAGTGTTAGTGAGAATATAGAGAAACTGGCGCCCTCAAAAATGGCTGGTGGGAACGTAAAATGATATGGTCACTTTGAAAAACCATTTGGTAGTTCCTCAAAATGTTAAAGAGAAAGTTACCATGACCCAACAGTTCCACTCCTAGGCATACACCCAAGAGAATTGAAAACATATATCCACACAAAAACTTGTATGCAAATATTCCCTTCAGCATTATTCATAATGGCCAAAAAGCAGAAACAATCCAAATGTCCATCAACTGATGAATGAATAAACAAAACGTGACATATTTAATATAACAGAATATTACTCAGCCATAAAAAGGAATGGAATATTTATACATGCTACAACATGGATGAACCTTGAAAACATTATGTTGAGTGAAAGAACAGCCACAGAGAACCACATATATGATTCTATTTATATAAAATACCCAGAATAGACAAATTCATTGAGACAGAAAGTAGATTAGTGATTTCCAACAGGCTGGGAGGAAATGGAAGGTGACTCCTAACAGGTATAGGGTTTCTTTTTGGAGCGACGAAAATGTTCTAAAATTAATTGTAGTGATAACTGCATGTAATTTTTAAAAAACTGAACTGTATACTTTAAATGAGTGAATTTTATGGTACTTGAATTAAATTGATAAAGCTGATTTTTAAAAAAAGATTTGAGCAAATAGACAAATAAATAAGAAAGACCCAAAATCAGGAGCCTAGAAATGCCTTCCCTTTTGTTTTCATAATTCATACTACTGTCTAGAAATGTATACAAATGGTTCCTGGGATCCCGATTAAAGTTTTGGCTATTCAATGTAAATTCACAAACCAATGATATCAAGCCAAAAGAAACACTGACCTTGCAGAGTATAGACTTTCAACATTATAATTATTACTTTATGGCAGTCATCCTCAAAAGGGGGTGAGGAAATCCTGAATAGGGGCACCCCAGGAGGCAGAAGGGACTGTGGGCAGAGAAGTAATTTCTTGATAGGACCCTCTCCAGGGTGTTACCATTCCCCACCACTCATGAGTATTCTCATATTCCTTAAGTGTGCTGGGGAAAAAAAATTAATTGAGAAACAGTGCTCTTCTCATGTTTCTAAAAACATAAGCATGGCTACTCCTTGGCTAGACTACTAGAACACACTTGGGGAAAGCAGCACCGATGATTCTGTGCACAGGGAACACATGCAGTAAGACATGCAAATCAACAATGACAAGGAAGCACGGCCCAGAGAAGCTGCTGCCTTCTTTGAGAGAACTTACTACCCAGAGACTGATTTGGCCCAAAGTAAAATCTAGGGGTAGACATGCTACTCACATACAACATGGATCCACTCGGTAGTTTAAAATGACATTGAAACAAAATGTTAACCATAAAGATTTACATATTCACAGAAGACTGGAAAACCCAAATCTGTACTTCATTGATTTAAGTAGTGATCTAAATACATATTAAAAGGTCATTTAGCATGTACCTAAAGCACAAAGAAAAGCTGGTGTCTGGCCTGGAGATTCCTTCTTTAACTGGCAAAGAAGCCTTTAAATAGTCTATTGGATAATGATTATTTCATTAACCCTCCCAATTTGTCTGAATGGTTTGGTCTGCAGCTAAAGGAGCAAAAGAACACAACAGGCCTTCATACGTACAGCACAGCTTTGGGGTCTGAGAAGTTTTTAGAATTTTAAGAAAGATAGGTAAAAATCTTAGTGTCTGTGACTATTTATTTCTATTCTATTTAGAATAGAAACTTACCATAGTTTCTTTATATTAATAGATCATTTCCATAACTCAACCTTTCTTGCTTTACTCATATATTAGCTTTGTATCACTACATTTGTGGAAGACAGACAAACCAAAACCATTCCGATACTAGAGAAAGGATTAAGTCCAAGTACAGATGTGCCGTCTGTCTCAGGCATCTGGCTCAGCTCTGCCCTCCCTCTGTTCCCAGGCAGAAGCACATGCTCCAGTTTGTGGTTTGTTCACTGCTATTCTCTAAAAAGGTGGGCATCTGATGATCAGGAAGAATAACATTCTTCCACAACTTGCCGTGGATTAAAAAAAAATTCTAATTTTATATATTAAATGCAATGAGGCCTTTAGATTAAAACACATATAGGCCATACAATTTTAACATATCAGAAATTTGTTAACCCAAAAAGTTGCAGCCCCAAATTCAAAATTTAATGTATGGCACAAAGCCAGGATACCATGTGTTTAAGAAGTATTAAAACAATTCCATCTAGTATTTGACACATGAAACCCTAACTTTATGGGCTTCAGAAACATGCAATTCAATGTCATGATAAAAGGGTAAATAATTATTCAAATTCATCTAGAAAACAAATTTAAAGCAAAACGGCATGCTGCTTCTCATGAAAAGAATAAGCTTCTAAGCAACAAATTTTCAAAATTAAAAATTGTTTTCATAAGAGATTTCACTCAGAACTAATGGTTTTTGTTTGTAGTAAAGACTCAATCTAAAGACAGAAATTAGTGCAAACACTCACGACTAAGAAGCAGAAAGAAAAGCACTTGCCTGGTGTTTCACTGGTTTAGGTGATTCCTGCTGTTTGTTACAAACAGATAAATGCAAATGTTAGCAAGTACGGGTCTTTCCCTAGCGGTAAGCCACATCCAAAGCACCCAGTCCGTGTGCAGTTTAGAGCTGTGAACGCTGATTTGGTTGGCATTCTCTCAGGCCCTATGAGCTAACACTTCTGCATATCTATAAGTTAAGGACAACTGACATTTATGTTCTTACCCCTTTTCTATGATCAATTCTTCCCAAATTTCTACCCTCCCCTCAAGTTGCTATGGACAGTAGCAACAGGCTGCTCTGCAAAGTTCAGAAAGAACTGCTAAAAATATCTGAGGATCTTCTTTTTGGAAAATAAGAAGTCTTCATAGGCACTGCTCATCTATTTTTAATAACTGTCACCAAATCTCTGCAAGAAATTAGGCTTCAAGCCACAATCATAATTCCAGTTTTCCCTGTAGGAGTAACCAGTTGATAGCAATTTCCTGATCATTGTGCTCCCTTTTAAGTGGAAAAAGACTTGCTGGGTGGGGAGTGATGGCGGTCAGGGAGCTGTCAATTATAGCAGCCCACTGAGTAGACCAGCTTCCTTATTGTTTCTGAAATTATAAAAGAATAAATCTAAGATTTAAAACAACAACAACAGAACAGAAACTTACAGGAATATTATGGTCCTTTCGTCCTTTATGTGAAGAAGCAACATGAGCAAGGTACTGAATGACTTTCTTAGTATTTTCCGTCTTCCCAGCACCTGATTCACCCCTGGAAGAAATATGAACACAGGCTGCCTTAAAGAAAGCACAGCACACACATTCCAAAATTATAATTGATAAAATTGAGTTGGAACAAGAATTAGTAGAAAATAAAAAGAGAATAAGGAGAAAAATATATCAGCAGTAGTTAGAAAACTATAACTTTTTAAATGGCATTTAAATTCACCCAAATATATTTTTGGTAGATGCCAGTAAGAGGAAACAGGAAAATGTTCACAATAGTGTTTTGTTTTGTTTTTTTCTCTTGGAGTTGGAGGTTCTACCAGAGAATGAAATTTATTAGAATATTAATGAAGAAATTCCTCAGCACCAGAAACATCCAGCACTGGAAACGGAATTCCTAAAAGAATCAAATAAAAAGAATTTAATCTGAAGGAACTAAGTGAACTCTGGGATGCCCATTAGCTATTGACTTCATCGTCTAAGCCAATTAAAGCTTTTTCAGCTCATCCCTTAAACCAGGCTGACGATGGCTCTCTCCTCTGTACCAGTACACACACAGTACCTTGTACACATCTCATTAAAAGTCTCCACAGTGATTGCTGGCCTCTCACACTGGGCTCCCTGAGGCAAGGACCACGGCTCTGTGTATTGGGGCTTATTAGTGTGGATGTGTTTATTTGTGTTGGTTTCTTTTTAATCCACATAACCTTATGCAGTATTGACACATAGCCAGTATGCAATTTGCAGAGAAAATGAATGAATACTATGAATTTTGTTATGAACTGGGTGGGACAAATGCCATCACTTTACATGACTTATATTTTCAAACAAGTCTGGCACATTTTGTTGATTTCTACTCGGTATTAAGCCTGAAATTCAGGTAAGCTGCTAGCATGTAGTGATACCTGAATTATGGTCTCTCTGCTCAAACACTTAGGGTTCCCTAAGACATGATCGAAGCAAACCTACCTTGACAATCAAAATTTCGATTTGGATTAAAATTAAAATTTTAATACATAATTAACTTTTATTAAAAAAGACCCCAGAAACTAAAAAATGTTATTATACACACTGCCAACTAATAATCTTCTAAACCTGTTTTATCTAAGACATGAAAAATCGAATTTGTCTAAAAATCTCTGACCCTTTCTTAGAGTTGTACTTAGGATTATACTATTGGAACTGTCCACAACTTAAAAATTTCAGTAGGTTTACTGACTGCATTATCTTCCTAACTCTCTGCACCCAGATACCCACAACCTCAAATGCAGAGTGGTTGGGCAAAGGCATTGACCAACTAGTTGTATAGCTTTGATGAAGGCAACTGTCTTCTCTGGGCCTTGGCATCACCATCTGTCAAGTATAGGAATTGAATTGGATCCTTTCTAGCTCCAGCATTTGACATTTCTAGACACAACCTACGTATTGCTTTATGAGAATATTTTACATATTAAGCTTGTTAACCAACATCTATTGTTATATTAAAAATCATCCCCTTTGGGCCAGCCGAGTAGCGAGTTGGTTAAGGGTTGGCTTGGGACGCCAGTTCTGAGCAGCAGGGCCTCGGTTTGGATCCCACATGGGGCCAGTGACACTGCCCTCTACAGCTAAGACAGTGAACAACAGCTTGACCTGGAGCTGGGCTGCCGTGAGTCACTGGCGACCGTGTAGGCTGCAGCGAAGCTGCAGTGGGCTACCGTAAGCTACCATGAGCAGCCGTCCAATGGCTGGCGAGCAACTGCTTCACCCAGGAAGAGCACAATGATAATACCAACATGGGCCAGTGAAGTGACGTCCTCCACAACGAGACTGAAGAACAAAAGGACAGCAACTTGTCTGTTCTCCTTCCACGATTCCCCAACGCAGTTCCCCTCCCCCAATTCCTCAATAAAATCTTAAAAAAAAAAAAAAATCATCCCCTTCTTTGTTTTGCCATGTAGAAGTTTTGAATCTTAGGTATGCAAATTTACCAAACTTTCTTTTAAGGTTTCTGCTTGCTCTTTATTCATGCTTAAAAGGACTTTTTTTTTTTTTTGCACCAAGATTATGTCCATCTATATTCTCATTTTTGTATCATTTATATTATTAAATCCATCTGTATTTCCTTCCAGAACTCTGACGGTTTCACTTTTTATAATTAAATCTTTAATCAATCTGAAAAAACAATTTACGGCTGGAGGGTAAAGATTTTTAATCAAATTTCCCCCAAATGATTCCACATACATCCCAGTATTAATGGTTCAGAGACATTCATTCTCCAGTGATATGAAATGTTAATTTATCTTATATTCGCTTCTTATACATATGACTTATTCCAAGGCCAGTACCATATTGCAATAGTTTTAAAATATGACTAATCGGAGTACCCATCATTTTTCTTCTTTAAAAAAAAATATCAAGTAGTCTCTGAGGTTTATTTTTTTCAGATAAACTTCCAAGAATTTTGTTCTGCTATGCCTCCATCTCCTGCCCCTAAATAAAAAACAGGTAGAATTTTGAGTTAAATAATAGTAATATATATGCTACTTTTAGAAGAAATGATGTCTTCATCTCTCTTACATAATTTTGTATTTTTCTAAGTTCAAATAAGCAAGGACCATGTGTCTTATCCATCTTTGAAATCACAGTACCTAGCATAGTAAATGCTCAACAACTACTGTTGAATACATGCATATTGGTCCTACACAAATTTTGTTAAATTTCTTCCTAGGCTCTTTTTAATATTTTTCATTCCTGTCATTAATGTCCTTTCATCACCCTTTTATTTTCTACCTAGCTTCCACTGGTACATATAGCCAAGGTAATCATTTTCATTCACTTATTCAACAAATATTTACAAATCAACTTCTATGTATCGGGCATTCTTCTAAGTGCTAGTGACATGGCTGTGAAAAAAAATCCGTATCCTTATGGAGCTCAAGTTTAGGAAAAGAGACAGAAAATAAACAAGAAATATAAGATCATTACAGGATGTGGGGAATGCTACAAAGAAAACAAGGAAGGGGCTGAGAGGAAAGAGGCAGAGAACAGAGGACCACTTCCTGTGGATGTGATGGTCAAGGAGGAGCCTCATGAAAGATGAATAGGAACTAGCAAGTTCGAGCCGGGGGCAGAGTGTACAGGCCAATGTAAAGACAAACACAAAAGCCCAAAGCAGGAAAAAGCTTGGTATATTCCAGGAACCAGAGGCCAGTGTGTAGGATTTGATATAAATAACCAGCAAGGCAGGAGACAGGCACAGTGGATGTGATGTGCCCGGGAAGTGTGGGAAAGAATTTAGATTTTACTCAGGTGTAATTTCTGAATAGCGGTTAGTGGTTTTCTGTGTGTTTTTTTTTTCCTTAACTTTATTCAAAATACTTAGTGTTTCAAGGCTTATCATGATGTTGGCTGCCGGTTTCTAACATAATTATTTTTATGCTAAAAAATGAGCCTCTCATTTACACTGATGATGACGTCTTGAAAATTGTTATGATTGTTACTTTTCAAGTGAGTTTGCGTCTGTGGTTGCTCAGCCTCGCCTCTCAATTGGACATGCTTCAGGATGTCCTTAATGCATTTTTTCCCCTGCCCATCACACTTACTGGGCTGTACTTCAATAATTGCTTATGAACACTGCTACATTTTACATATTTCGGGTCTAAGGTAACTTTGCTATGGAAAATACTGTTTCAAAGTTAGATGTATTCCAACACCTTACTGTTGAGTTCCCAAGAGGGGACACGATGAGCCTTATATTCACCATCTTAATATGGGAATAATAGCCTCTAACGTATAAGGTTGTTGTAAAGAACAAATACAGTCCATCTAAGCACATAATTCGTATTCAATAAACATTACCATTATTGGCCACTTAAGTGTTCACCCACCCATACATGAGGTAATTTGAATTACTAAACTCAAAATTACTTTATGAATTAATAGTGTTAGTATAGTGGTTAAGAATATGGGCTATTGTGTCAAAATGACCCAACTAGATTCAAATCCTGTCTAACGCTTCCTGGCTGTGGAGCTCTGGGCAAGTCACTTAGGTCTCTGAGACTCAGTTTGTGCTCCTGTAAAAGGAGATAAAGCTGGGCCGGCCGAGTGGCATGTTGGTTAAGAGCTGGCTTGGGACG